TGGGATGTGGGATAGGAAATTAAAGGGCCAGAAGCATTTTCGAGTTGGAGGAGAAACCAAATTGGGGCTTTATATCCCTTTATCACCGTTCTGCATGGGCACAGAGTAAATTTCATGGTCAGGCCTTTACTTCATTAACCACGTATATGATCAAATCCGTCTACTTTTAGCCTAAGCATTTGCTTATAGATATTGCCGTTGAATGTAAAATATATAATAATTACTGCTAGGTTGATCAGTCGTGTTAATGAGCCCTTCCGGATCCGCTATTGACATCCTTACGGAAAGGAATTTACTGGACTAAGGATTAAAATAACTCGGAGTTAGCGATAACTTTGCCTATTGCTTAAGCATACTCGGAGAAAACCATAATACCACAGGATCAACAAATGAAGATGCTTTTTTATGAGCCTATCATTAACCAGAGGAAAAGGTATCACAAAGAAGAAGCGAGTGAAGAAGATTAGGAAATCAAGCGAATACGCTTTCACTGGGTATAGTTTATTCGAAGAAGCTATTACAACTTTTGGGGCCTGGCATTCACAATACTATGGAAATGGATCATCATGCCAGTCACAGAAATTCTGCATTATGGCCAAATTGACTAGAAATCCACTCGAGAAGCAACAGGCGACCAGAGACAGACTTCCCCAGTTTGCTCAGGGTACACGGGTTTAATTAAGAAGATGAGCTGTGGAGACAATGCCTGATATTTGCAAGCATGAGAATCAGAGCCTAGCCACCCTGCTTCGTGAGGCGACACTGCACGTGTCCATAGGGGCTTCATAAATATTGCCTGAAGTAAAACATAACCTAGTACTGCCATACCTTTCATTTCGTTTGGTAAAGCGGGTGGAAGGGATTTGTAAATTGGCCCCAACGGATACCGAAGGAGGATTGCCTTGGGCTTTTGCTTGTTGTTGTTTTCCTCGGTCATACCTTCTTTTAGATAATCTTCAGGCGCCCTCTGCCGATCATGCTTGTATAAGGCTTTGCGATCATGTGGTAATTTTTATGTACGGGAGACTTGTTGACATACACAAGAGGATTTCAGAACACAAAACCACCTACCAAGGTTTATGGATGCAGAAATCATAAGTGGTTGAATATTTGGTAACTGCAGGACACCAGATAGTGTGGTATAAATCCCAACGTTTTGCCGGATATGGGGACTTCACAGTTAAGCGGAAGACCAAGGAGTCGATTGAAATTAACAAGACAAAGAACGTTTTGAATAGGAGGAACGAGTGTAGCAAACTAAGTAAGAAATATCTCTGGCTGCCGAATAGAATTAAAGAGAGGGAATAGAGAGGGCCACTGAGTATGGAGAGACTAAGCTAGTCAGGTTTCGGACCTAAAATCGCCAACCAACTCGTTAGTGTTGCATACACAACGCACACGCTTGCAGTAGGCTAAAACAAGCCCCATGATTACAGGATCATATGCTAGTTGTGACTACATACTCTTCCTTTCTTGCATCGCTCTCACTCGTTTACATGCATGTACGATAAGCATAAAGCGGCTAACCAAATCATGGAATGCTTCATTAAGGTCACGAGGTGACGTAGGATCATAGTCGGCCATCTTTCTTGTTTTATTTTTTTGGGTGATTGTTTGGGAATAATTATTTTTGGCTCTGACGATGTTCGTCACATGACGAACTAAAGCTCAGCACGGAATCATCGGGGTCGTAGGGCTGTGATTTGAGGTCTTCGCGAAATTCAACAGACAATAGTTCTGGTCAATCCTCCTTCGGTATCCAGTGGGGCCAATCTACAAATCCCTTCCACCTACCTTCTCAAACGAAATGTCAGTATCAATATACTAAGGGATTCTTCGAAGCCCAGCTTCTTTCCATAAGCATATACAAGGACTGGAACCGAATGAAATCGGTGAACCATAAAGTTGAGAAATGGATCTACAGATCCACGAGGGAGATTCTGATAAGAGGCCCGAATCAGATCAGCAAATTGAGAGGGAAGGGGGGCAAGTTTAATAGCAGGTGTGATGGCGTCGCTTTAGACTCACCAAAAAATGGCATATCTCTTGAGGAGTGGAATATAAACAAGTCTAAAGTTGTGATAAGGCGGGAATGAGATTTGATGTTATTTAATAGGTTGGCCAGGAACAAATGAGGAGTGATAGTACAACTGTTGGGCAGAAAGTTGATCAAGAGATTAACTTCACTTGTCTCTTTGGCGAGTTGTAGCTTGTTGCAGCGAAACATTTGGCAGTGTATCAAGTTTACGGTCCAATGCATCTGTTTAGTTAGTTAAATCGACCTAGGACATTTTTATTACTCAAGTTTGTCATATTATTTTGTCATTGACTTATAAAGTATCGACCAAGTTTGTTTTTCTATCCATTGTCTCGCAAAGATGGCGATTTTCGAGTTGGTCTCCTCTGCCAGTTCCTCTGTTCTGTCACCTCCCGCCTTCCTCCATCTATCACATATCCGAGCATTGAATCCTGTCTCGGGCGACCTCTTTTAAAAACTGAGAATTGTTATCGATGGCCAACCTACGGAGAGCTCCTTGATCGCCTTTTGGCTCATAGTCCTCCGCAGATGTTGCAGTTAGGTGAGGAAGCATGCCACTTGAATCATTATTTTTCCGCACCATGGCTTAAATTCTTATTTTTATCACTGCATATTTTTAATAAATTAATGAACATTTGTTTTTTTTATACTTTATGTAATGCGTTTTCTGATTAATCCCACTGGATTTCTTACAAAATGAGCATGATTAAGTTACGATCCTGAGTAGATTCCGCACGAAATTTTTATTAAGGCTGGGATGCGTCCCATTCTAAACTGTGCAGACTGCTATCTTCAACCAATAAAGCACCTTAAATTTACCACTTTCAAATATATAAACATGGTGTGACCCTCGGTATGGTCGCAGTCTCATTTCGATGTATACAAGTGGGTTTACCTCGTTTTCGCTACTTGGTATTGTGGTCAGCGCGAATTAGTTTTGTGCACCTTATCCGAAGTCTTCCGCCATATTAGTTATCAAATTCCCAGCCACACACTGTGGACCTGGTACCTTCTCAGGCATCCAAATCCTCGGGCTAACACTGGGAATTATCATAACTACTATAGTATACGATTTCAGAAAAGGTGCCTTACGATCTCCAGGTTGATCTATTATTTACCCTATTTTGAAATTGGTGAGGATGAAATATTCGCAGTGATGAATCAATACTTTCTAACAAATCGCATTAAGTCGTGTATACGAAGATGGCATGTTTTTAACGCATACACCTTACCTGACCCCAATCTTTGAGGAACATTCTTGATGCAGAATCCTTTGTTTTTGTTCATTCCAAGTTGGACCTGTTTGCCCGTTTTATTCATTTGCTAAGGAAACGTCGACATTTCATCTCTTACTCAAATCCGCAATATACCAAAGAAAAGTGACCATCATACTCTGATTGAACTTTATTAACCTCCGGCAGGTGCACATCTTGGATTTACAGGTCCGCCCTAGCTTTTATATATATATACATATGATCTATATACAGCTCTGTATACAAAAGAAGAATTTAAGAATTACGGAAAAATGAAATATCACTTGTCTTCTATGAGTTTCTATTGCAAGAAGCTAAAATTTTACAACCACATCATCAAGATAAGTATTGAAATTTGTTGGAGCCAAGTTGATCATCTAACCATGCTATTGCTGTTGATATATTATGTTGGCATGTTTTTATTCATTTTGTGTGAAATGGATTAGCAATTCTTTGCAATGAACTATTTATTAGATATAATTGTCGTCTGTATAAAAGGGTTTTATTTTTGGCACATCTAGTCAAATTTCGACTGATGACGTCTTATTAAGGCTCATTTACTAATCCTTGTCTTTATTGAAGTGGATTGACTTCGTTGTCGCAACTTTGTCTTGTCAAGGGGACTTAGTAGAACTAACCTAGTCCGAAGTCGTCTATCATAGTAGTTGTCATAATTCCTAGTATCAGACAGTGGACTTGGTACATTCTCAAACGTTTCGTCGGCATCATCAGTAAATTTTGTCATTCTCCGAACCAAGCTACGAGCAGGTCAGAGACAACTGGAGTCAATCTCTCGACAAACGTTCTGTGAAAACGGTTACACTATCACTCCTCTTTCTGTCCTGGCCTATCTATCTACTCTTTACCCTCTTATCCAACTCCCGCCATATCACAACTTCTCACTTCTTTACATTCAACTCGTCAAAATGTATGCCCTTTTATGGCAAATCTAATGTGGCCTCATCACACCTGCTATTCACCTCGACCCCCTCTTTCGATCGGCCAATCCGACTTGGGCCTGCAATCCGGATCCCCTCATGGTCTTGTAGATCCGTTCCTTATCTTTCTGGTTGACCGATTTCAGTCGGTTCTAGTCCCAGTGTGCGTTTCACTCCAAGCGTTATTTCTTAAGGCCTTAGAAGCTCGTACACTGCCGCCTCACCAAGCAGAGCTCCTCGGCTCTAATTCCCATGCTTGTAGATATCAGGCATTGCCTTCACGGGTCGCCTCTTTGATTGTACCCGTGTAACATGAGCAAACTGTGGTTGCCTATCTCTGGTCGCATGCGGCATCTCGAGTGTAGCTCTAGTACATTTTGGCCATACCCTCGAATTTCTGTGGCGGTTTGCTTATCCGTCCGCCTTGCTTCCATACTGCCAGGTTTTCAAAGTTGTACTGGATTATTTGAAGCGGACATCACTCACTGACAACGTCTTCGCTTGATTTTCGGAAATCCCCGCTCCCTCATTTTCCTCATCGCAATCCCTTTACCTCCGGTTAGCGATAGATCCTTGATCCAGGCGTCTCTTTTTTTCTGGTCTTGCTCTATTCTTAAACTAACTCGGGAAAACAAGAATAGAGCAAGACCATCAAAAAGAAGACGCCTGGATCAAGGATCTATCGCTAACCGGTGGAAAAGGGATCGAGTTGAGGAAAAGGGGGGGCGGGGGTTTTCGGCAATCAAGCGAAGACGTTGTCAGTGAGTGATGTCTTCTTGACGTAGTGTAAACGTGAGACATTTACAAGAATGAGTTCCAATTTGATTATGTCCATCATATGACGCGAAGAGAAACTGCGTTTTGATGAATCTCCTGAGATAACATTGTTGGGAGGACTTTCATTTGGCATGAAAGTGAATGAAGAAAAAATTCGTAGGCCGATCTCACCAGAAGAGGACGGATGAATCCCGTTGTACTGCAGCTGTTTGGCTTTTATACGACGTTCAGGTTGACGCAGTCCACTGTCCTCTTCTGGTGAGATCGACCTACGAATTTCTTCTTCATTTACTTTCATACCAAATGAAAGTCCTTCCAACAATGTTATCTCAGGAAATTCATCGAAATCCAGTTTCTCTTCGCGTCCTATGATGGACATAATCAGAACTGGAACTCATTCTTGTAAATGTCTCACGGTTACACTACGTCAAGAAGACTATCCAGTTATATCTTACCTCTCATATATACTCAACCAAAAACGAAAAAAAACAGGCATAGATAGATATATAATCGTCTTGCTAATTATCTTTCATACTAGTCCTACTAATTTTGCTTGTGTGTGTGTCAGGCTCTGGGCATTAAGGCTTAATGACCCAAGAGAAAGCCCTGACCAAGACTGCGTTAGTCCGTAAGCAAGTATGATTAAGTTAATCAGATGTGAGCTTGTAATTGTTTAAGTCAAGTTGCGAAACCACATATCCTAACGTTTCAATCTATGATTATTAAAGTTTAACCATCCAAGGAAAGGCATGACTGGGATGCGTAATCTTGTACGTCATGTTGGACAAGCGTGAGTGAGGTTAGAAACATCACTGGGTAGACCAGTTGATTCGCCTTCTTTTGGATGGCGGATCAACACTCCTTCAATCTATCAATCAAGCATAAGTAGTTCTTACCAAACTTTCTACCACCTTTTTCTGATATTCAACGTGTTTCCTAATCTATTAATTTCAATAGCGTCTCTTCTCTTCCTTTTGACAGCAAACCTACTA